GTTTTGTCATGTTCTTTCCTAAGATATGCGTCCCATCCCAGTCAGGCAGATGGTCACACTTTTCAATGTGAAGTACGATCGCATTCGATGTGCGATGGAACCTGACGTCATTCTTGTGCTCCTTTACCCTTACATCTACCCCCCTCCCCGTTTCCCCCACGTAACTTTGTCCACACCCCTTACATGGAATTTCATACACAACACTTTTCGCATTCGCTTCGGAACCATGTTTCGTTTTACGTCGTTCGATCAGTTCGCCTATCTTCTTTCCAGAACTGATCGCCACGTTCACACCTCCCTTCTGTAGAGTTCGTGATATTTCGTTGGCTTCTTTCGAGTTCGGAATCGTTATCCATCTTTTCGACTTTGGCCTCGCTTCCCTCTGAGACCTGTTTCTTATCTTCTTGGCCGTTTCTTTTTGTTTGATCAAAAATCCTTTTGGGTACTTGAGCCTCATAAACGAAGAGTAGATATGCTCGATCTCATCTTGTAAATATTCGTCGTCGCATACACGAAAAGCACGCAAAAAGAACCCAATCACTATTCCACTTTTTACTTTCTCACTGTGACCTGAGTAGAAATGGACATAGTCTTCTTTGCTGGTTGGTTTCCGGAACACTTTGAATTTGAAACGGCTCTCGCTTTTGATGATGCATGTATCGAGGAAATGCAGTTCATCGTTTTCTTCCTTCTCTATAGTAAATTGTATCTTTTCGTGGACCTCATTCAAATCTTGTAACTTATCTTCTAAATTCATGTTCTTCGGTACTACTACGAGGACGTCATCAACATAACGTATCCAGGTCGAGTCACTTCCGATAATGTTGCTATATTTTGACTTTTCTAGCTTTTCCATAAATAGACAGGCAGCCACCGGACTGAGAGGTGACCCCATCGCCAGTCCACTCTTTTGAAGGTATTCGATACCATCAAATGTAAATGATCCGAAGTGCATACACATGGACACCAGCTTTAGATAATCGTTTTTCGGTAGCGGCAGAGCGTTTTCATCCATTTCATCCATGGAAAGAGGCAGGTAACGTCGACATTGTTATGAACTTATCATCGCGAACGCTAAACGACTACGAATCCGAAGCCTTAGCTCTTGGACTCAAGTTTGATTCCGGAAGAGATAAGTATTCGTTTGCGGATCATGTGGAAAGGAATTACAGATGGAATGATAGCGACGTCGAGAAGGGCTACATCCAAGGGATTTTGACGTGCTGTAAAGCTTTGTCAGATAAACAACCGGGTAGCCTACCTAGAAGATATTTAAAGGCGCTGCGGGATTTGGCCAACGATAGTGGTATCATAGTAACCCAAGCCGATAAGGGCGGTGGAATAGTGATCATGGATAGAGCACAGTACATTCAGAAGATGCAAGATTTGCTGAGCGATAGAGATACGTACGAAAAGAAAGGGTCTGGTTTCAATGACAAAGAAAACAAAGTGTTCAACAAAGAAGCAAGAAAAATCCTGAAACGGTCCGAACGGGGAAAGAAGTTGCAGCATGCCTTAGAGGAAGCACCCACCGCTCCAAAAATGAGGGGTCTTCCTAAGGTACACAAAAGTGGTACTCCTATGCGCCCAATCACATCCGGGATAGGAAGCGCTCCACACAAGCTAGCAAAAATATTGGCAAAGCCATTGACCAATGCTTTGGGGTCTATCAGTGGAGCGCACATCAAAAACACTGCGGAAATGATGGAAACGTTAAAAGAAGTACGACAAGTTGACGACAAAAAGCTAGCAAGTTTCGATGTTCGGTCACTTTTCACAAATGTTCCGGTCGATGAAGCACTAGAAGCAATAAAAGAAGTCGTCGATGAAATGGATGAAAACGCTCTGCCGCTACCGAAAAACGATTATCTAAAGCTGGTGTCCATGTGTATGCACTTCGGATCATTTACATTTGATGGTATCGAATACCTTCAAAAGAGTGGACTGGCGATGGGGTCACCTCTCAGTCCGGTGGCTGCCTGTCTATTTATGGAAAAGCTAGAAAAGTCAAAATATAGCAACATTATCGGAAGTGACTCGACCTGGATACGTTATGTTGATGACGTCCTCGTAGTAGTACCGAAGAACATGAATTTAGAAGATAAGTTACAAGATTTGAATGAGGTCCACGAAAAGATACAATTTACTATAGAGAAGGAAGAAAACGATGAACTGCATTTCCTCGATACATGCATCATCAAAAGCGAGAGCCGTTTCAAATTCAAAGTGTTCCGGAAACCAACCAGCAAAGAAGACTATGTCCATTTCTACTCAGGTCACAGTGAGAAAGTAAAAAGTGGAATAGTGATTGGGTTCTTTTTGCGTGCTTTTCGTGTATGCGACGACGAATATTTACAAGATGAGATCGAGCATATCTACTCTTCGTTTATGAGGCTCAAGTACCCAAAAGGATTTTTGATCAAACAAAAAGAAACGGCCAAGAAGATAAGAAACAGGTCTCAGAGGGAAGCGAGGCCAAAGTCGAAAAGATGGATAACGATTCCGAACTCGAAAGAAGCCAACGAAATATCACGAACTCTACAGAAGGGAGGTGTGAACGTGGCGATCAGTTCTGGAAAGAAGATAGGCGAACTGATCGAACGACGTAAAACGAAACATGGTTCCGAAGCGAATGCGAAAAGTGTTGTGTATGAAATTCCATGTAAGGGGTGTGGACAAAGTTACGTGGGGGAAACGGGGAGGGGGGTAGATGTAAGAGTAAAGGAGCACAAGAATGACGTCAGGTTCCATCGCACATCGAATGCGATCGTACTTCACATTGAAAAGTGTGACCATCTGCCTGACTGGGATGGGACGCATATCTTAGGAAAGAACATGACAAAACGAAAACGCAAAATCATCGAAGCCGCTCATATTATCTCACGCGAAACATTTAATACTAGGAGTGGGTTCATTCCTTTAGCGTCTGGTGCTGTTCGTCTAGTTATAGGTAGTCCCTGAACTGTATCCCGTGCGATGAAGTCAATTTGCCTTTTGAAATATTTGAAAATATTCCTTCATTTTAGCATACACAGTGATCAAGGTATTTGTTACCGAAAGCTCTGTTTTTTAATTGTGTATTTGAATATATTGTCGTTTTTTTTATATATATCTGTCATGGATAACACACGTTACATTGTTTCACGGCCCCAGCCTGACGGATTCCGTAACACCGCCCTCCCCACCACAGGACCGGTCAGTACCGGAAACAACAATAGACGGCACGGCACGGGCCGCGACGCCTCGCCCGCGCCGATCAAAACCGAATGGCATCCTGTTGTAACGCAACACTGACTGAATAGGACAATTGCGCACTTTGGGAGCCGCGGTGGAGGGCCGGGAAAAACGGCGGCCGCCGCCGATACGCGCCGGTGACCCCTAATGACGCCGTGGGGCAGCGGCTATCCGCAAGGTGTTGGCTACTTTCACATTTCATTGCGGCCCGTTGTGACAGACAGGCGTTGTTTCTCATGAGACGGCGGCCCAGCCCACCGATATTTTGCATCGGCAACGAGGTGTCGCCGAGATAAATGTTTCTTGCTCAAGATGAAAGTGTGAGGCTGCTCTGCAATGCGCTCAGCTGGGTGTGTAAAGACGGGAATGCGTCGAATCGTCGACATGCTGGAGTAATTTAGCGCTTACAGAACATCCGTCTCCTTTCACTGAGCCGCGGATAGTTTAAAAGAAATTTGCAACAACTGGCAAAAAAATGAATCGTAATTTACTTACAATAACAAACAACCGTTAATTATCCTACAAGGAAAAAATCGTTTGCTTGCAGTTTACTAACTGCGAGCGCCAAGGCTTTCGTACAGATCAGTCTTTTAGATCGTCGCAGCACAAATCACATCAGTGCCAGCGATTGTAGTCACATTGCGAGATTTTATCTATACGACAAATACACTTGTCCTATTATGTTACAGGTGTTGTCATGGCACTATTGTAGCTTCTTACAACTAACTTACGCAAGCAATGTTGCACGGTTCAAAGCACCGCACTTGATGTTGATGCGATCATAAAACATGACTGCGATGCGCTGATATCAGCTGATGGTGTAAATGATAGCCAAAATAAAACATTTGAAGACGAGGCCTTACAAATCCGCTCCAGTAAGCCGGACATCCTTTATACCATCGCCGACACTCCGCACCCCGGTGAACTTACCTGAGTCTGTCTGCTGTCCGCGGGCAGCGTCCGGCTCCTGTTCCACCGAGACACCGTACTTGTTGTGTTCGCCCGCCGGCGTCTGACCGCCCGACGGCCGCACCTTGGCGTGCAGCGACTTGGACTTCCTCACCAGTCGCTTCAGCACACTGAGCTTCTCCGCGTCCCTCTCCGCCGGCGGGCCGGAGCCGCCCCCGGCCTCGGCCGCCCGCTCCGCCGCCCCGTCCGTCTCGAACAGGGCCAGGTCGAGGTCCTCCAGGTCTGAGCCGGCCGGCGAGCGGCGCAGCCGGACCACCGGCTCGTCCTCCTCACTGAGCGGCTCGCCGGGCTCCCGCAGCTCGTCGGCGCCGGCGCTGGCGTCGTCAGCCGAGCCCTCGGTGCCGGTGCTGACCCCGGAGCTGCTGGCGCTGACCCGGCCCACCACCGGGCCGCGGTAGGCGATCACACCCAGCCGCCGCGCCGCCGACCGCTCCATGGCACCCTGCGAAGAGCACTGCGCCACCGGCGCCGACTCGTCGACCGTCCACGGCGGCGACGACGCCCCCGCGCCGCCCCACCGAGCGGGCACACTTTCACCGTCGGCGTCGGTGACGGGGTGCGACGCCCGACGCGGCACCGGCGGCCGGACGCGCTGCCGCGCCCGCGGGCCGGCCGCCGACGCACGCCGCTCCTCCGTCGGCTGCGACGACAGGCTGCGGACCTCGGAGGACCCGTCGCTCGTCTCGGAGGCCGTGTCGTGCTGGTCGTGACGCTCGTCACGCGTCACACGGACCAGCACGGTGGGTACGCCGGTCACACGCGGCTGCAGGGGCGGCGGAGACGGGGCCGCCCCACCGTCACCCTCCGCCGGAGCGGTGACAGTGACCCGGGTGCGCGATACTCGGGTGCCGGCTGTATCTGCGGTGTTGCTCGCCTCCCTGCCTGACGCAGAGGGCCGTGCTGCCGCCGCTACCGGCGTCGTCACGCTACAAGAGGTTGCCGTTGGCGTGGTCAAGGAGGGCGTCTCGTCCGGCGCTCGAACGGTGATGCGTGCAACCAGCGTCTCGTCCGGTGTCGTGCTGACGCGGGTCACAATCGCGCCATCAGCTGACGCCACTGACGGCGGAGATTGCGTGTGAAGGTCATCGGTGGCTGGCGTGCTGACGACGATTCGTGGGGACGCCCGGCGTGCGTCCGCAGGCGCCGCCGGCTGCCCGGTGGGGGCCGTCACGGCGCGGGTGCGCGCGGTGGGTGTCGGTCCCGTCGAGGGTGATACACTGGCCGTCACCCGCCTGCCGCTGACCGAGCTGACGCTGCGCAGAGCCGGCGAGCCTCCGACCACGGAGCCGTTCACCGCGGTCTGAGCGGCGCCGGAGTTGCGCGCCGCCGGTACTCGCCGGGAAGCCGCCGGGGTGGCCGCCCGACCTTTGGAGACCTCAGGCTGAGCGGGGGTCGCGGTCCGGCTCTGCTGCGCCGAGGAGCGTCGCGGAGGCGGCCGGGGCGGCGTCGGTGAGGTCGTAGATGTCGGCGAAGATGCTGCCGACGAAGATGACTTGTTAGACGCTGCTGGAGATAAGGACGACCCCAGAAGTGGCGGCCGGGGCGGCGGGGTCGGCCGCAGTCTCTGGCTGTCCCCCACCGACGACTTGCTGCGCCGGATCGACTTGCGCGTGATATCGTGTCTGGAGAGTGAGTCGCTGCGCTGCGGCGGCCGGCGCACGGGCGGCCCGGTCAGCTCGGAGGCGCTGCGGAGGAGCGGCGGCGGACGGCCTCTCGCCGCCTCCTCCCGGCCACTGAAGGACGGCTGGCGGGGCAGCAGGTGCCGCCGCAGCATCCCCGAGATGCGGCTCTGCAGCGGCGGGCGAGGCTCGGCGGCCGGCGAACTCTCTGCGCCTCGCTGACCGGAGGTGAAGAGATTCACCGCGCGCCGCACGCGACCATCTCGGCCCGCCGCCTCGCGTCCCTTCCCCGAGCCACTCTCCGAGGGGGACTTTTGTCCCGTCGACAGGCCGAGTGTTCCTTCAGTGCGCGACGGAGGGCGCTTCTCAAACCGGCTCTTGCCGGCCCACAGTCTCTCTCCTCCCCCGCCGGTCATGGTGTTCCACTTCCACTGTCACCGCGTTACCCTATACAGAACATAATCGGACATTAGAGCCGTGCCAGAGCCTGCGTCACCGAACGCCGTGAGGTGCGCTACGACCGCCGCCTCCCCGTGACCCACTCTCCATAATAGGTGCATCGGCTCGGGATAAGCCGATGAGACGATAGAAATCGACCGATAAAAACTGGTGAGAAGAAAGCTCGTCCGCAAGTTTCTGAAGTTTGTGAGGACTCTTGAGAATCAGTCCAAGTAGGTAAAAAAACAGCACCTTACTGAATGGATGCGCTAGTTTTGTGTGCGACAAAATAATGCCGTCTCAAGAGAACAAACACAAGGTATTATGGAGGCACAAAATAGCCCAGTTGTTTATGGATACCATCCAACAGCCCACTCATCGCCACCTGTATTCGAGGAAAACCCACCAATGGCGAATATTGAGTCATCCAGTTGGGCTGGCGCGCCCTCACGGGCCCCGAAGGTCACGACCGTATTACCCCAGCGGATGGATGGCAGCAATTAGGGCTCGGCCCCACGGTGACATCCGTGAGAAACGCGTTCATAAACTTCACCGCGCCGGCCCGGCGGCCCAACGGCCGACCGACCAGTCGGCGAACAAAGGAGCGACAACCAGGTCGGCGGGCCAGCGAATTTCAGACGGCAAGAAATTTGCCAGAGCTACAAAGTCAGTCATGCGGCTAGCTTTGTCCCTCAAAAAGTAGAGAGCCTTCAGGAACATCGTGCCGTCGGACAAAAAAAAAATTTCCTGGCCTATCTAAACAAGTTTTAGCAATTAAGTGCCTCATATTAAAACTTGTGTTAAACTAAAGGCTAAAGTAGCTTTGGCATATGAGCACGCATGGAGTGCACATGCGCTGTAAACGCTACCGATGAGTGAGCAATGAGTATTGGTACGAATTACAGCTTCGATGCGGGGGGAAGTGAATTGCAGGGAAAGAACAGCTTGACAAGAAAATGTAAGGAAGCGCGCTCCAATCTTTGTGACCACAGCAGATTTCCTGTTACACACTCTAATAAATGATCAATTGATAGTATTGAAGCACCTGCTCCATATTGCGAAAGGTGGCAGTCCATTGCGTTACGAGTAAGGCGTGGCTAGCTTGATCATCAATTACCGAACTCGCGCAATGCATCCTTTGTAAAATGACGGGCTCTTGAACTGAAACAAGACCTATCCGGTGTTTTCAAAACACGTTCCAAAGAACAGTTGCGCGTGTTTGACCGCCGCGTCCCGGAGGAGCTTGTCCGCCATTTCTGCGCTCGCCGTTTGTGTGCAGTCCGCCGTCTCAGGTCGGTCAATATTGGTCTGCCCGAGCGCGTGACTTCCTCCCTCGCAGGTCGAGGTGCGGCTGACCGTTGGCGGAGAGGACGGGAGGAAGGGGAGGACGGGGAGGACAGGGATAGGGAGGACAGGGAGGAAGGGGAGGCCGTCACGGCACCGCTCAAACGCGCGGACAGGAAAATCGGCGGAGCACGGAAAGCACAGGCCGGCGGCACCACCGGTCTCATTTCAGATACCGGCCGCCGGATGAGATTAGGAGATTTCTCGAGAAATCGTGCCAGCCACTACTACATACAGCACCGGCGGAAATTTCGGGGCCTCGAACAAACTCATTACAGCTGTACAGACAGCTGGGCCGATGTGAGATTTCCTTCGAGATCATAGAATTCATGACTAATTACGTGAGAACCAGGATTTATCCACGAGGGGACTGGGTTACCATCGAGCCGGCATCTGAACCACTTTCCACGGCAGGCAGCGGGCCTGGTGCGGAACAGATGGTCCGACATACCAGGCGCTATAAAATTATCATTGCCGAATTCACCAACTCGGCTTCGGCGCTCATGTTTTATGCAGTGACCAGATACGTCAATCGTCACAGCATCGAGCCGCGCCTCACTAGTATCGAGAGCTTCAGCATTCTGCGAAGGCCTCAGGTGTTCTGTAATTCTGTAACCAGATGCTCAGAGGCAAGGCACACCGCCGCACCTGTACCAAGCTGCGCAGTTGACGGCGGCCGAACCTGCACGTCCTCATTCACCACAGTGCACAGTGGGGATTTTTCCGATCTAGCACGTATTTATTCGTAGAGGGCAAACCATAGGTAGAATTGTAGCCAGATTGTGCACAGATGTTGGCTGGTGTGTCTTGGTGAGAATTTTACCTGTAAATGTGCATAATCAACATAGTATAGGGGGTTCAATTGGACCCCCCGCTCAGCCGTTTGGCCCCTGATCAAGCTAGAGCTTCGCGGAAAAGTCAAGCGTGCTGCCTATGACGAAATTAGGCCGAATATATCCAATTTCAAAGTCCAAGGTCATAAGCTGACTTTCCAAGTCAGTTTAATGACCCAACTAAAGTTGGGAAATCGAGACCTCTTGAAACTTCGCAAAGTTAGGGTGTTACGTGGTATTTTGGGATGCTGATCACGAATTTCATGTTAGTTTTGATCACAGACGATGTCTTTATGCATTTAGGCCAGGTCGGGTCAGGTCAGGTTATATCAATTAGTAGGCGTCCTGCCGGCCATCCATAGAAGTGTCACCTACTACTGATAGCTTCGTAACATGGAACGAAGGCACTAGAACTACTTCGTAAATATTCAAATGGCTGCTAAAATCGAAATCAGCACCAAAAACTACCCTAGAAACAAGTAAAACTCGAAAAAGTGAACCAAGGTCATCAAAAGGTCAATGACCTTGACTTGACCTTCACGTGACCTTGACTCCCACCATTATGCATGGCACCAACATCATTTCACATATTTGAACGTTTAAAACCACAAAAAGACTGGAAACCGCGGATAATGTGAGCTGGCATACGCCGAATCGCGATTCCGGCCAAACATGGTCTCGAGAAATATGCCACAGGTCAAAGGCCAGTTGGGTCAGAGTCATGAAATTTTTAGGTTAGATGTAAAATTGATGATCTCGAGGGTACCGAAAGTTTCGGCGCGATCGGCCGCTTTTTGCGCGAGTAATTTGCGGAAAACCATGGGGTTTTATCCGACCCCTTCCCCCTCCCCCTCCCCACAAGTGCGATGGTTAATAAGGTTACGGTATGTATAATTTACGCTTGTCATCCTATTCCTAATGAATGTGTCTCAGAAAATATGCATCATATAAATCACGAAGTAAAATTATTCGCCTATGTCCGGAACATACCTATATCGTGCTGTTTGCCCTAGCGCTCCTCGAGTGGGGTGTTAACCCGGCAGTTGCTGGGGTATTTCGCCACCCACCGTTTGCTGGGGGGGGGGGCGTTAAACGCCCCCAGCCGATAACTCGAGAACCGATAGGCGCAGCGAAACGCACGAGGCGGCAAACGAAAGAACGCGACGAGATGCTTCAGATGAGTACTTTAAAGTTGGATTTTGAGGTCACAGGTCGGGTCAAGGTCAGGTCAAACACCTGAAATCGGGCTTTCAGTAGCATGGACTTCAGGACTTCGCAATGGGCGCCTCTCGTCATAAACTCTGTCAAAACGGTGCAAAATCCATCATATAAGGCCTACAAGAGTGTCAGCTCCATGTAGGGGTCAGTCAAGCATAGGTCAGGGTCAAGGTCAGGTCAACCGGGTAGGCACTTATCCCCAAAAATCAAAACTAATATTCACAGCCTTTGACACACGTTTAATGGGTAATTTGGGGCGTAGAACACGATGGTGACATTCATTTTATCATATGTGTACGTGTTTGGCTCAAAAAGTTCAATTTAAGAAATGCATGCATCATGGTCGTGAAGTAGTCACGAGAAATTGCCAAGATTCAGTTCAAGATTTTGGAAAATGTGGAACGACAATCAATAATCGAAGATAGCCATTTGATTGTTCATGGTATTGGCAGTCTAATGGCGTTTACGGCGTGTCTGTATACCTATTCTGTGGTTTTAGATGATTTTCTGAACATATGCCCTTTTTTGTCGAAAACTCAGAAATCATGACGTCACTAAAACCTCGATATCTCAAAATTTTTCCGACCGATTTTTTTGAAACTTTGTCACAATAAACTTCAATCAATTTCCTACAGGTACCCAAAATTTGGCGCGCCTGCGGCGCGCCGTTTTTATGCTATGGCCCGGCGAAAAAAGTGGGGGCGTTTAACGCCCCCCCCCCCCCAGCAACTCGCGGGTTAAGATACTCTAATGTGAATATTCCGTGTTCAGGCAAGTTTCGGCAGCCAAACTAGGCGTTGTCTTGTGCAGAAGAAAGTGGCGAATTCGATAGGATATATTTCGGAGTGGAAAAGTGTGGAGAACATTGTTGATTTCCTACATTTATTTAGAATACCATTCCTTCAATATGGTGTCTGTAAGGGTTTTTTTGTAAAGGGCATTTTTGTGACCTTAGTAAGTTTGTGGCATACTTTCTGTTTGCCATTCCATTCCTAATAAAGGTGCCTTTCAGACGATATGCAACTTTAAGACCTCGCAAGATTAAAACCAACAGGACAGGACAATGAAATTGAGCTATACTTTCGGGCCTTGCTGAGCCCATTGAGTAATCACACATGAGTGTGAACTTTGGGCGCATTTTTCCTAGTTTTGCTGTGGACATACAGATGAAACAATGCCATATATGAAAAATTCAGACATTTCTTAGCCCTACTGACACAAAAATAAACAAAAATCCAAAAAATATTTTTTGAATTAATAGGCGCTAGATCGGAAAAATCCCCACTGTGCAGTGGGGAGCCTTGTCCGAGCGCAAGTCAGCAACAATCGGCTGGCTCACAGTGACCAACGGCGTTGGCTCGTCGCCAGAGGGGTCACCGCGGACGCCAGGGGCCCCGGGCTGCTGGCCACCCGGTGACAGGCAGGCATGCGGACCTAACCGCCGCCGACAGAGCCGCCTACAGCAGATACAGCATACAGCGTTCGCGGACAGAGCCGCATACAGCGGATACAGCATACAGCGGCCGCGGACAGAGCCGCATACAGCGGATACAGCATACAGCGTTCGCGGACAGAGCCGCATACAGCGGATACAGCATACAGCGGCCGCGGACA